TGGAGGACACGTCCTAGGTTTTCGAACAGAACCAGGGTGTTGATGTCATTAGGCCACACCCCTTCTCATTACAGAGATGCACACCACCTGATTTACTTAATTGGCAGTTGACTTTCAAGCCTATACAGCTTGGAGTAGGACAACATGTATGAAAAGGATGATGTGGTCGAAACACTCATTTGCCTAATAATTCTGCACACAGTGTAGTGGCTTTCCTCTGGCCGCTCCTCTATAAATGTTACATTTGAATAAGGTTATTCGAACAACTGCTTGCTGGAATTTTAAAGTATTCATTTGCAGAAAACAAACAATAACCATATATGTTCTAATTTGTGTACCACATGGAACCCCAACAAAATGCTTTTAATTTTGTGTTTGTTAAGGAATAAAATGTTTAAATGCTCTGGATAGAAGCTCTTCAGCAGGGCACTGTACCTTAACTTCCTGTTCTTTTGTCTGGTGGCAGAGTTCCACCACCCTCCTCTTTTGCAGCCAGCTCAGGTCCTCGTATGGGATCCTACTGAGGCTGCACTCCACTGGGCAGCTGTCATCCTCAGGGCTCCACTGAAGCCCAGAGCTCTCATCACCGCTGCCATAACTCAGGTAGAGCTGCTCACCAGTCCGACACAACATAAAAGATCTCTGCTCGTAGTCGGAAGGCAGCCAAGCTGGCCGGATGCTGAACTCCCCGATTAGAGCTTTCCAGATGTGGCCCATCTTCAAAACTGGCACCACAGAGAGTGCCAGAGAGGTGGATGCAGAGGCGCTATCTGAGGACGTACTTGGAAGTTCATCTAAAAACTGAGACAAATTGGTGCAGGAAGCCTCTGGGATATGTTCTACCGCTGAGAAAAAGGAGCTGCTGGCAGTGGGGTCGGCTGTAAGGCAGGAAGAGGATGGAGTCTCGTCACCTTCCTGGATCCCGTCGTTTTTGCGGTCCTCCAGCATGTTCCACTCAAGCCTCCTCTTTGATTCCTCATCCACCCTCACAGGAGGGGCCCTCTTTCTCCGACTGCTCATTGTGACACCCTAAGCAGTTAAAAAAATATACAAATATTAAAAACATTTACCTTTCAAAAGTAAATATCCATTTAATAACAATATTCATACGGCATTGTTTCCTATAAATGTAATTTCATTCTTGTTGCTGCAAATAGATAGTAGAATTCCTGACTGATACGGATAGCAAATAAAAAAAGTTAAAGTTTTTTTCCCCATTAAAGTGATTTTTATCATTTGTCTCCATTAATGGCAACAGCTTTTATCATTGTTTAACGACAATCCTATAGACATACTAATATTTTGCTGATAATAAAATGCTGCTTATCTACAGATAAGCCTGACACACTTGATCTAATCTGTAAGAGATCCCTTACTTCTATTTAGTTCTAAGACAAGCCGGGTCCGGAAATAAAATGTTTCCATCTGAGGAATTCTGGGTGGAGGATATTGATAGATTAATTTTAATTAATTTTTATTTTTTACAATTTTGTTATAACTGCTCTAAGTGGGTTTGTCTGTCAGCTAAAGGCATGATTAAGAGTCCCTACCCTCCTGTTAATGTTTAATCATTCACTAAATTAGTTGACGGTTATTTCAATAATCCATTAATCATGATTACTCTGATTAATTGCTTCAGCCCCATTGTTGATTAATTAAATAAATCGATTAATTGTTAACTGGAGTATACAGACTCTTAACATGCCACCAGCAGTAATTACACCAAATATGTAAACAAGATATAAACATCTTCTATTCAAATTAAAACCTTTTTAAACCCTGTAAATATGCTCTATCCCTTAAGTGACAGAGCTTTAGCTTCACAAGGTTTAAATTCTGTATTATACCTTTAAGGCACCTTTTGCTATCCGATTATTAATCTAAATCATAACTGACAGATTAATCAAAAACAAAAATAACCCTTACTTGCAGCTCCAGCTCATACATGTGAATGTTTTCTCAGCTATTATCATTAGTGGTGCCCCATCAACAGAAAAATAACAATCCTAAAAAAAAAAAAAAAGGCCACCATCACTATGTGTAGTTTGCTGCATCCCACTTCATAGGGATGTAGTAATCAGGTCGATATCAGCCAAAAACAATCATAATATCAACCTGAATCTAAAATCTCTAATATAAGCAACATTCTGCTTCTGTTTATGTAACTGATTGGTTATAATTAGTTTTTCTCAGAGATATTCTTTTTTTTTCTGTAATATAATTTAATAATGCTTTTTTTTTTAACATTTAACAATACAAAATTGGCATTACAAATATGCTAAATTTTTTCTTAAGATCTTAAAATGTACATTTTGTGTTAAGGTGGCTGGTTGTCATTGTAATGTTTCCTCTATTTTATATCTATGAGTTTCTAGCATCACTTAAACCTGTAAGGTACTATACGTTTACAAACATAACGCGCGCGCGCGCGCGCACATATATAAGGTAAAGACATTCATCATTTCGGTTGTTAAAGCATTTTGAAATCTTTTTGATGTCAGAAATTACAGAGACGTCTACGAAATATGTTCCAGGGCATAAAACCGCCTCTAATTTAGGCTAAAACGTACAGATAATCATCATCTAGTAGTTTTTTTCCCCACATGAACAAGGTACTGCTTCAGATTTACGAAAGAGGCAGCCATGCTGTCGGTAAATAAACAATGATACATCGGCAGCACTTTCGTAACACTGAGGATTTAATTGTGTGGCAGTTTATAGCAAATGACATTAAAACGCATATTTACTTTCTGAGCCGCTCCAGGTACTTTTAGTGTTGCACAAGTGGCTCCATGAAAAAGCTGGTCCCCATTAACGAGAAGTTAAGATAACAATACACAGCTCAGTTGTTTACAGCGACGCTCTTCTCCGCCATCTTTACATACAGGAAGTGACGTCACTATGAGGAAGGAGAATTTTTTTTTCGGATCTCCGAAATTTTTTATTTTTTATTTACCAAAATAAATAAATATATATTTTAAATATATAATATAATATATATATATATATATATATATATATATATATATAGTTTTAAGTATTCTTCTAGTAATTTCCAAAGTGGTTAAG